CTCTCAGGGGGAGCATCAGTCTCAGGGGGAGCATCCATCTCCAGCAGCTCACCACTTCTCTCCAAGGATGCAACTTAGCTCTCCAGTTGCTCCAGGTACCTCAACGGTTCAAATTCCTTCTTCAGCATTTTCTGAACTGATGTCACTGACTCGGGACATGAGTCAGCGTCTGCTTCGTATTGAGGCTGATGTTCAACAAATCAAGGAGGTTCTCTTACTTACTCCTCCCTCTAGTCCCAAATCTAATGATGTTCAAAAAGGGGGAGATACTGATGATCATGCTGATGGTGAACCAAATGCTCATGCTGATGGTGAACCAAATGAGAAAGACACAGAACCTGGTGACAACACTATCTTTCAGCATGAATCACCCAACCCCATTCCTGAATCTGATTCTGCGGGGCATAATAGTCCAGCAGCTACTGAAAAATTGTTTGACGACAGTGAGCATGATGACGAACATGAATCTGATTCTGCGGGGCATAATAGTCCAGCAGCTACTGAAAATTGTTTGAAGACAGTGAGCATGATGAAGAGCATGATGAACCTGATGATGAATGTCAAATTCTTGACATGAACTTCATTGATCCTCTCATTCCAGTTCAGCAAGAAAGCTTAGATGACCTTGAAGAATCTCATCTGATATTAGCCGATCCTATTGCTGATCCCATCATTCCGGTCCAAGGAGAGGATTCGGACATTGCCAGTGAAGAATCTCATCCGCTGTCTCGAAAGCGGAAAGTAGAAGATACTGACTCGGATCATTCTCAAACTGATACTTCTTCAACTGTGAAGAAACCAAAGTCCATTGTCAGTATTTCAAATCTTGCCACTGAATGGAACATGTCCCCTGATCAAGTCAAGCAAATTCTTGATGAAGCCAATCGAGCTCAGCTTCTAAAGAACATTGCTCAAGCTGATGAATCTCTTATTCAGCACGAACTTCAGGCCAAGGGATCTTTTGAAGCTCAGATGCAGAAGTTCCTGGAATTTCAGTCCAAGGCTCAGTCTTCTCAACCTCCTCCTAGCTCTAGCAATCCCAAGACTGACAGTGTTCTTGACCGGATTGATCGAAAGAGATTTGAAGATGTTTTTAATCGGCGAATGTGTGGAGATAAGATCATCAAAGTCAAAGCTTCTAAACCTCGAAACGAGAAAATCCTTACGTTGCTGATCACTCGTCAAGGTCCTCAGCACTCATATACTGAAGTTGTTAAGAGGGATGAGCTGATTAGATATGGGTATTCGGAATGGATGGAACTGCTCGATCTTGCATCCAAGCAAACCTCAGCTCACTCTTCAGAACTGACTTGTGCTCTTCATCTGCTGATCAAGAAAGTTCAGCGTTTGGATCTTGTTCCTAAAGAACGACCTCATCATCAAGGCCAAAGGTCGTTAGTTCCTAGATCTCGAAGAACCAAGTTTCATGTTGATGGTGAAGATGTATTGGTTCTAGACTTTGGTGCTGGTGCAATTAACAATTCACTTCCTCTAGGTGTTGATCCGGTTCAGCATCAATTCATCTCAGCTCCTGAACACGGGATGTTCTATCTAGACAAAAACAAGAGGATGTGCTTTCAACGAACTACTGAGATCCCAAAGGCTCCAATCACTCACCTTGTTGGCTTAAGGCAAATGTGCATGAGTCATCAAGACCTTTCTGGAGAATTTCACATTCTTATTGCCATGGAGCTGCTAAACAGAAGACAGGAATTGCTGGACAGTCCTTACTGGCCAGTTAAAATTGAAGCTGAAGCTGAGTATGAAGAATTTCTTTCCAGAGGTGTCTTTATTTAGTTTGTTTTGAACATCATCATATTGGGGGAGATTGTAAGGTCAAACCTTGAAATATGATTATGTTTAAAACAAAATCAGCATCAACACATGTTTCAGCATCAGCATCAGCGTATAACTGCTCAGTTTATATTAGTTTAGTTTATTCAATGCATTGTAACAAATCATATATTTATTCTGTTTCCTTAGTTATCTTGATTAGCATATCCCTGAATTGTAGGGATTGTCTAGAATAACAGTATATATATTATCTTGTACAGGTATGTGAATGCATGCGCTTTTCACAAACCCTAATCGTCGCTTTGTGCACACGATAATCTCTTTGTGAGATTATCTTTCTTAGTGAAAGTTTTTCTTCGTGAATTTCTCTTGTTCTTATTTATCGTCTTTGTTTGATATATCGATTGATCTAAAGGCCTCTTCATAATTAATATACCTGAAATTCCGGATGTTACAGTTGGTTGTTGATTTCAAAGGGTTGTGGAATCTAAAAGCGAAGAGTGGGCACTAAAAGTGAAGGGTAGATTTCGTTACATGTATCACGAATTGGGAAGAAGAAACCATGAAAGTTTCGAATTGGGTCCTTAAAATTTTGACGAAATGACACAAATGGTCCATCTTCGACATTGGTGTAAAAAGATAATGAAGAAGGCAAAATTTTTGCATTGAGTCCTTGGTGATTCGAAATGTTGGCAAAAATAATCCAACTTCGAAATTGGGGTAATAAAGTTGAGAAATTGAAGATTTTACAAGTTCAGTCACTGTAGGTAATGCGAAGTTACACTTTATGCCCAATTTCACAAATGGGAGAGTTTTTCGCATTTTAAGTTGTTTTTGGCGCAACGGGTCCGTGCAAAATTCAGAAAATGACATTTTTACCCGGATTTTGGAAAATCTTGCAACTCTCACCCAAAAGTTGAAAATTTTCATAAATAGGAATTTTTTCAAGGCTTTTTCGTGGTTGTTTTTCCTTGCAAGTTTTTCAGTGTTTCATTTTTGGCATACATCAAGGGGGAGTTATGTGCATATTATTACTTGGCCGCTTCTCACCCTTAATGGGTTTTATAATCATTTTTTGTTATAAAAGGGAGGGAATGAAAAGTTGGTATTCGAAGCTTCTCGGGTATTTCAGGTATTCATTTGCAGATTTGAAGACCGGTATCATTTCAAGGGGGTGTTTGGTCTTGATCGCGTGAGCTCGTTGGATATTGATGTCGGGACATCCAATCCTAACTTTGAGGGGGAGAATGTTAGGGTGCAAAGCCACACTTGGATGTGGAGTGTTAGTGCTTACCCTCTTGTATGTGTAAATGAGTTGAGTATTTTTTAGAAATAAGAAGTGAATGACTCCTATTATATAAGATCTTGTATTGATAATTTGGAGAGCATTAGTTTTAGAGAGAGAATCATTACAAACCCATTTCTACTCTTTCTAACCAAACAGATGAGAGATTAAAAGATTTATTTACTCAATGTGTTCATGATTTGTATGATGATTCACTAGATCTTTCATATTCCACACATGTCATCATAATCATCACCACTACAATGACAATGACTTTAATGACACACATTTGCATGTCATCTGTGCCATTTTATGACATGCAATGTGTGTTATAAAAGGCAACTTTCTAATAGTGTGCTACCATATGTTATGTGGTAGAAAGTAAGTAATATGTAACTTATTACGCGAAATTATGTGATTATGTGAAATGCATATGATCTGTATGATGAATGAGTGTTGTAATTATTCACTAAGTCTTAGGCTTACAGTTGCTACTTTATTTTCTTAGTTATAGTTGCTACTTTATTTTCTTAGTTACAGGTCCTTCAAACTCGAAGGGCAAGGTGCAGAAATGATTGAGACATCTGGACATTCTCGGAGGGGCATGACATCTAGTTTATTCATTCTATGTTACGATATGGTTTTTCAAAACAATACTTAGCTTCCGTATTTTTACTATGATTATGTTGATGTAACGTGAAAAGATAAATTTATGATTTATTAATGATTATGAATAAAATTTAATTTTTTTAGGGTTGATTTGTGGGATGTGACAGTATATATATATATATATATATATATATATATATATATATATATATATATATATATATATATATATATATATATATATATATATATATATATATAATATGCTTCTTTTTGAAAATGAAATAAATAATGGTTTCAAGATATATAATATAATTATACGAAAATGAGTTCCTTTTGACTTGTTATACAGAATGCATCAAAATTTTACCAAAATTATAACATATTTATTTAATTTCGAACATCAAAAAGAGATCAAGATAAAATACACATAATATTTTTTAATTGAATTAACCTATTTTAAATAAAATACACATGTTATTTTGTCGGTTTCAAGAAAAGAGGGAAAAAAACTAAGTATAACATTTTTTTTTTCCAAACGACAATGACATCAATTTAAATGTAAAAATATTAAAGTGTTCTTTGTTTTTTTTTTTTTTTAAAAAACTCTTCACCTCTTACTACTACGCACAACAAATATATAACATTTTTCATCTGGCATCTTTTTCTTTATAGAATATGTTAAATATTGATACAAATCTTCTGCTGCATAGATGTTCATTCAATAAAACAAAAAACACGTAAGTGTATATCACACCAGAATAAACGTCTAAAAATACGCGTACATAATATGTGCGGGCCATATGTTGTCCCACACCCACATGACATGTAGCACGTAACACACAATCCCCTCACGGGACCTACCAATCAATAATCCACACATGGGTACTATCTCATTCACCCGACAAAAGGTTGGCCTCTAATCACATGCTATTTATCCTTTCAGTAGGAACGCAATCTGACGGTGCAGCTATGACTTCGTGTGACTATTAAGCTCGAATCACAGCCGTTGATGAGAGAGAAGGACCACACGTCGTCCAATAACCAAACTGTTGTGTTGTGACTCTTATCCCCACACTTTTAAATGATGATGTAAGCCTGCCACTCATCTCACCAACATCTTTAGCTGTGTTTGTCCCCTCACTTGCTCTTCTTTTCATCAAAAATCAAAACATTTATTTTTCCTTTTTTAACTATATAAACTTTGAAACTGTTTAAATGAAAGTGAAAACAATATATATATATATATATATATATATATATATATATATATATATATATATATATATATATATATATATATATGAGAATCATTCTCAATCACTTATTTATTTTGCAACTTATTTATTTTGCAGTAAAAACCTTTACAGTGAAAATGAATAAAAATTACACATGTATTTCTAAAAATGCATTATTTTGAAAGGAGAGTGAAAGAAGATACAACCCAAACCCAATACAAGAATCCAAAGGTAAAAGTTTAGTTTCATAAGTTTCTCGTCTTTTCTACATTTTTTATGTTACTTTTGCACTATTCACTTGCACAATTCATAACCATTTTTTTTTTTTTTTATTAAAATATTAAAGAAAAAGCTTAGGTAGTTAACAAAGTGCGCGTGTAATATATGTGCGAGTGGACATAAACTTTCCCTGTCAAAGAGAGTTCATGCACAAATCCCAACCACAATCTTATATATAACACATCATCTTCAATTCGAAAGCCACTCACAAACTAACACCCTCCTGAAATCAAGAATCTTGCCTGAGATCATCGTACAGATAGATTTCAAGAACCGATCATCTAAACTTCGATATGGATCTCAATTACAAAGCAACCGAGCTAAGATTAGGGTTGCCTGGAACCAACGACTTGCCGGAAGTTAATACGACGACGACATCTTCCCTCACCAAGAGCACCAAAAGAAGTTCATCTGAGATGAGTCAAAATGAAACCGACGAATCAAGATCCTCCCCTCCGGCAAAGTAAGTCACATAAAAATTAATCATGTTATGCACCCAAAAATCTTATGTTTTTTACGTACCTAATTAGTGCATAAACTCATGTAAAGTTGTTTCAATAATTTCAGGGAACAAGTAGTCGGGTGGCCTCCTGTGAGATCTTACCGGAAAAACGTATTACATGGGAAGAAAGTGTTGCCAGAGATGGGCTCCACGATGTATGTGAAAGTGAGCATGGATGGAGCTCCATATTTGAGAAAAGTTGATCTAAAACTATACAAAAGCTATGGGGAGTTGATGAAGGGTTTAGAGGATATGTTTTTGTGCACAATAGGGTTGTACAATGAGAACGAAAGGTACGATGGATCAAAGCATGCAGCAACTTATGAAGACAAAGATGGAGACTGGATGCTAGTCGGAGATGTGCCATGGGAAATGTTCGTTACCTCTTGCAAAAGACTTAGAATCATGAAAGGGTATGAAGCTAGAGGGTTGGATTTATAGTTCTTATTAGTTTATACATTAATTCAACTCAGATATTTTTGATAAAAGAAATTGTAAAAAAATAGAGAAAGTTCATGTAAGTAATTGAGATTTTCTTGTGATTGAAAGTGTTCTATAAGTTTGAATCCCGTGTTTGGTATGATTACCGAATTACCCTGAATTAGTCACCTTTTAGCATCCGGGGTGTGAGTTTTATTTAATTTTGATTTGTAAAGGCTCAAGTTGTCTTTCATTTAGCACCTATCAATAGTATAAATACATGAAACATAATCATAATCTTGTTAACACAAGAAAATAAAAGATATATGTGGATCATAGATAAGGATAAATGATGTGAACAAATATAAAGTAGGGATTGTGATATGCTAAATCGATCCTTACCTCCTCTCAAGTTCGACCGTGGAGATCATGTATAACCTTTTGATCCGTTCCTAAGAAGTGATTGTGTTAAGCTATAGTCTTTAAAATTTATGTACAACTCATCAAATTTCATTTTTAATGATTCAAGATGAGTCACCTATGTGAGAAATAAATCTCTTCCTAGGGAAATATGGAGGGCACAATTCCTAATAGGTCTTGCAAAACCTTAATAATGTTCATGTCCAAAACAAACATAACTATGAATATGAATTGAACTATGTAATTATGTAATTATTGTAATGTAGAATATGTGAGAAGAACAGAAAAATAAGTATACATCTTTAGGGAATGTTCAAAAGTAACACCTATCTAAATTATGCAAGATTTAACTCCTAGATCTTATCTTGTTAGCTTGTAAATTTAGTGATCAATTTTCATTTATGTGAGGGATTGTTACAAAGATGGGTTTATCTATTATAGAAAAAACAGGATTTGCCTATTTTTGAAAGCAAAATTTCGGTTCATATCACTACTAGAAACTTGACCTTTAGCAACAGAATCAGCTACGGATTCTATCTGTAGCTAATCAACGACGACTTACCAAGGGATCAACGATGGAATGAATGAAAATTTTGACTAACATACTTTAGAGAGGCATTAACGAGGGATCATCGACTGACTGCTAATAATATCTAGACAAAAACATTTCATCGTTAATCTGTCTCAGATTAAAACCTTTAGCAAGGGAATAACGATGGATTGCTAAAAACGCTCGCAGAAAATTGACGCCTCGTTTTTTCATTCCCCACTTTTCTTCTTTTCTAGTTCCTTGGTTTATTTTCATTCCAACATATATCTTTCCCAAAGCCCTAATTGGCATTATGTCGACTCAAATCCCTCTCACATCCTCTTTGGCTTCCCTATCGATTCGTCTCCATTCCTCATTGACTCATCGTTTCCCCGCCAGCACCGTTCAATCCTCTATTGTCTCTTTAGATCTCTTAGTATATCTGCTCAGCCCCAACCGAAGAAGAAGGAGAGCTGACTCTCAAATCCGTTCGAGTCACGTTTCCGATCATGGCAACTAGGAAAAATCTGACCACAACTAATCACCTCCGTCATTTGGAGTCAATGGCGACTCGCCCATCGGGTGCCGGTAAGATTCCAAAGCTGAATGTCGTGATACTCGGTGAGTCTCTTGCATCCGAGGAGGACGATCTCGTATTTCCCGGTCAGGATTTCTCCCAACAGGTACACGTACCCTCTCCTCAAAAGGTATCATCCTCAAAATTGATCAATAATCTGCATATGTTGTTTCATTTCGTCGGAAAAATAGAGTCAGCGTCGAGTCAAATACATAAGTTCTTGCAAAAGGCGATACTCTAGTTTTGATTATTGAGAAAGGATTGATGGCTACATAAACATATAGATCTGTTATTTCAATGAGTATATAATTTGACCTAACAAGAACAAAGAGGACAAAATTCCTATTTTAATTTGAAGTCTTCTACTTTGGATTTTCAAAATACGAAGTGAACTTTAATCACAAGAAGGAAACATGACCTATTCGCTGTTCTTTTTAATAAACATTTTCATCATATAATCGATGATTTGGGGCACCATTTCAGTACTTGGAGTTGGAGATATACAACAGATCAATTGAAGATCCTGGTGGCTTTTGGTATGATATTGCGCATCAGAATTCTATTGGAAAGAGAAATGGGGTCAATAGGTTTACTCAGAGAATCTTGATGTTACAAATAGGAACATCAAAATTGAGGTAAACATTACTTTTTATCTTTCTGACATCTGCCTCTTTCATCTTGTATCACACACCTAATCAGCTATTGGCTATTCCTATCTATCTACTCGGTGGTTCAAGGGTGGCATCACCAACATCTCTTATAATTGCTTGGATAAAAACATAGAGTCTGGGAATTGCGATAAAATTACAGATGTTTGGGGCTAATTGCAAACATGGCCCTTCTCAGGCAGATGTTTGGGGAATTGAAGAAAACCCTAGTTATGGCCCTTCTCAGGAAGATGTTTAGGGCTAGTGTCGAGAAGGTCTTTCTAAAATTCCGTCTCTTCTCTCTTTTGTTTAATTTTATGTCCCTCTAATCGGATGATGAAACTATCTGTTCTTCCTGAATTTGGTTAATTTACAGGTGCAAGTGGAGAAAAAAACCTGGAAAGTTGATGTAAGTATCTCCCTTCTGAATTATTTGTTATTCCTGATTATGCAGAGGTACCTAACAAGATTGAAACATGGCTCTATTTCAGGCTGGAAGTAGAACTGTTGGTTTGGAACTGACGACTCTTTGAAGCACCCACCAGTGGAGCTAAACCCAAGTGATGCTGGGTTCCAGGATTAGTACATTGTTCAAGAAATCATTATAGAAATGGCAAAGAACAGACCAATTGACGTTAAAGGAAAGAAGGGTTTCAAAGGTTTGCAAACAAGTATTCTATATATATATATATATATATATATATATATATATATATATATATATATATATATATATATATATATATATATCTGTGTGTGTGTGACATCCGTCCTACCAATGTGCTCATGGTGTTTTATATATGCTGTATCAGTATTAGTACTCAATGAGGTTGATAAACTTTCAAGAGAAGCACAACACTCTCTAAGAAGAACAATTGAAAACTTCAGAGAAACTCAAACAAGCTAGTGAAACAGATCATCGTGCTGAAGTTAGTGTAAGTAATTGATTCCTTCTTAATTCTCATACACAAACACATCAAAAAAAGATTTACACTCCTTTCATGGTGATTGATTTTTGTTTTTGTTGGAATGTAGACTAGCAAAAAGATTATAGACAGCTTACACTCCTTTTGTTCTTCAAGCTGTTCTTCCTTCAAGGTAAATGTCCAATTAACATATGGAACTAAATTGAATTAACTTTGTGAATTAACATATTGTTATGGTTGTATTTGTAGTTATGCAGCCAGTGAAATCGATATAAGCTCAGACAAAAACTCATAACAACGTGCACTTCTTGTGGAATCTAGAAGGTGGGTGTTGTTCTTCCGTTTTTACCTTTTTATCGCCATGTCATCATTATTTTTATAAGTTCTTTCTTTGTGTTGTGTAGATAGGAGGTATTGTTATTGGACAATGAGATTGCGTTTAATGAGGCGATTATTGAGGAAAGAGAAATACAGAATCAAATTGGGGAAGTAAATGAGATTTTTAAAGATCTTGCTGTTTTGGTTCATGAACAAGGAGCCATGATTGGTAAGTAGCTTGGAAGTACATTATTAAAATGAAAAAAAACATAAGTGCAATGCTATATTAAGGAAAGTAAATTACATGATGTTTGTTTTTTCAGATGATATCGGGTCAAATATTGAGAATTCTCATGTTGCAACTGCACAAGCAAGAATCCAGCTTTCAGAAAGTATATTTATTGGTTAGTTTATGTTATTTGTTATTGTTTTGATGAGTGTTTTAATTTTAAATATCTTTCGTTTGATCCTATGCTGTGACAGCTCATCAAAGGTTACTGAAGTTGTTCATTCTCGTTGTCTTAATGTGCAAATAAGTGCACCAAAAGAAGACCAGGTCAGTATTAGGGATGAATAACTGATTGATTATACATAGGAATATTAATAGGGATTTATGCCGAACTTTGTTTTTTTATTCAGATTGTTAGGGTTCTGGAATTTATTGGCAAAAAGGAGTTTAAGGAGGGCTATATTGTCATTTGAGACATGTCGTGTCCAGCAGTTAAGATCAGTCTTGCACTTTTTCTTGTGGTTTCTTGTGTCCAACAGTTATGATTAGTTAAGACCTTCTCAGTGGTCCATAATGGTCTATACAAATGTTCGAAGATCAAATCCCAAAAGACAAATTTCTGAAGACTAATATGCAAACATGGTATTTTCTTTCACCAACATGTTTTTTTTATATATTTTTTGGTCGGAATCGGAATTCAATTCCATTCTATTCTTGTATTTAGTTTAGCTTCAAATGAGTAGACAATAATGTCCTTCATCAACAGAAAATCATGTTTCCAACAAATACCATGTCTTATTCCATTGCAGGAAAAAGTAAGTAGAACTTGGTTCGCCTAATTCCATGGGGTTTAACGGGAATCGGAATCCAATTCCATTATGGTCCATTCGGATGCAATGCAAGATATGAAGCAATAGGGAATATGTATGTGGAAACTCAAAATATGAGACAAAATTGAGATTATGGTACATTATACTTTGAAATAAAAATCAATAAATATTAAACTTTGATATTTGATGATTTTGATCATTTTGGTAAACATTGATATTTGATGTTTTTGGATGTTTTATTAAATTTTGATATTTGATTTTAGTATTTTAATATTAGTGTTTGATTTTGGATTGTATAGTTATATGATTCATTTGGTATTAATTTGTTATTGTTTAATTTGGGATTGTATAATTTTTTGATGTTTTTAGTATATTTTTGTTTTAGATTTGTAATAAAAAAATTAATACTATATATTTGCGAGGGATCAGCTACGGAAACAAAAAAAAAATCACATCTAAAATTTGCTAGTGATTAGCGACGGACATATGAGAAGACATATATAGAGGTTTGCAAGGGATTAGCGACGAAATATTTTTGTTGCTGATGTGCTGAATAAAGGTGGTAAGGGACCAATTTGCGATGGATATTCCGTTGCTAAAGTCGTCGCCAGGAAAAACAAGTCCGTCGCTACATCTCTAGCTAAGTCGTTAGCCACGTTATATTTGGCTATGGAGTAAGTCTGTCACAGATCCGTAGCAAAAGACCTTTAGTGACGGAATAGCGATGGATTTATCTGTCGCAAAACCCTTGTTTCTAGTAGTGTATCCAGACTCGAAATAGAAATTCACTTGTATATATGTGTTACCCTCCATGATACAATAAGTTATGTATATTAAAAGTCTAAAACAGACAATAAATATTTGATAAGTTAGTCACTAAATTGTATGGTTGAATGATTATTAATTTAGCTAATTATGTTCTTAATTTCAGAACATAACTGACAATTAATTTAGCTGGACTCTTTCTTTTTTCATTATTATTTAAAAAACGGAATTAAACACCATGTATTTAATTGTCAATTATGTTATATAATTAAGAACAAAATTAAATACAATGTTTGTTATGATGTTGTGTTTAATTGTGTTTTGGTTATGATTTGTGTTTAATACCAAATTAACTAAGGGTTACCTTGTTAATATATAAATAGCATTTCTAGATACTACATATAAACATCAAAATACAAAATACGTCTTCTTTCCTTCCTCTATTGATGTGGAACTTTTTACCATATTATCAAGGTACTATTCATACCTCGTTGAATTTGGTGATATTTAGGATCAATTATCACTGTTGTATCTTGGTAAAGAAATTAATGATGTAATATCTTAATTTTGGGCCTAAAAATATTAACTTTTTTGGAAAATAAAATAAAATTAATTATATGAATTAGAATCTAGTTAATTAAACAATTAACTAGTTTTGTTTCTCTTTAAAAAAAAAAGAAAAAAAAACTAGTTTTTGTTAAATAGGGCCCCATAATACTAAGATCGATTAACAATATTGACTTAGCCGTTTGCATTGATAATCAAATATGGTAACTTCACGTCAAAAGTTGTTAGTAGATACTTCCGAATGCTATGCAATATGTAATACTAGAGTTTGATACCCAACACGATGCATTGAGGACCCTATATTCGTTTGAAAAAGGCTTTTTTTTGACATGGATATGGTTTTTTGAGACGAAACTTTTAGGCAATTTTAAAAGGTAACAGTGCAATGTTTCTTTTTTAATATGTAGAAAAAATGGTTTCTTAAGTGGTTTTATAACCCTGCACATTAAAACAAATATATAAAAAGAAATTAGTAAACAAATTTGTAAATAAACTAATGGGAAAATGATATATATGTCCTATTACGTTTCTAGGATTTACCCATTTAGTCACTTAACTTATTTTGTTGCTTTACGAGGGAAGGAATTATTGTAACCTACCAATCTAATCCCTTTCACATATTGTAGCCGAATTCCATTGCCACATAAGCGTAAGCTAACATATAAACAATGACATGACAAGAATTCAAAAGCGTCCCAACAACCCAAACTACTGACTACTGGTTTACCTCTTTCTCTTTCTCATCAAAAAACCCTCATACCCTCTCTACAATCCAAAACCATACATATGAGAGGAACCGTGATCGGAAAGTACCCATTAATAAATGAAATGGTGAAGTCGACGCCAGAAACAAAATCATAAAGCACAACCGGAAACCCACCTTCAACCTCCAGTTCACCCCGTCGATCCCCACATTCTACAACGACATCATAGATTTGTCAAATTAGAGTCCTATTTGGTGTAAAAATGATAAAATTTTCGACATTCATGTTTACATAAACCCATAAGCTTGGTGTATTTTGCAAATGCGATTCCAATTTTGGAACTGAAAATGTATGAACAACCAAAGGCCCAAAGCCAATCGAGTAATCGAAGGTATTAAGAGTTAAGAGCTACCGATTGAGATATAGGAGCGAGGATTTCTTACAGTCGTGTGTAAGATGTGAAGAAACTCCAGACGTCGAGGGAGAGGTACATCATATATTAGGGTGGTCTAGGCAAACAAGAGGCATTAGAGAAGACGAACTGAACAACTTATTGGCCAGTATGCGCCATGAAAGAGCTTCTACAATGATCCGACTTTCGGCTATACCATCGACAAACACATAACAAAATGGGACCGACAAACACATACAAGAGCACCACCGTATACAATTCTTGTTGAGATTTTACTAAAAATCATAACTCCTCCCTTTGACACGGTTTAATTGCAGGTATACCCCTTTTCCTATTCTAAATCACTAACAACCCATTTTTTTCTATTCTAAATCAATCAATACCCATCCCCCTTCTCTAGAACTTGGAATCAGGTATGTCGAGGCTCTTGGACCTAGGTGTGGATATGGTGATGATTTTAGGGATATTTTGGGTTTTTTTCATGGTGGTGCGGGAGGTGATATTTTTGATAGTTGAAGATGGTAATGGTTGTAGTGGTGGTAAATAGGAGAGGGATAATTTTAGGTAAATGAAGTTTTACATTTTGTGGTTATCAGTTTCTTTAAGTATATAAAAGATGATTTTCTTTATTTTTAATTGTTTCATGTGTAGAAGACGATCGAAAAGAAAGTTAGAGCGTAATAAATAAAAGATGGTCTTAAGGGTAGTTTTGTTATTTTATAATTTCTTTTTGCCATATAAACCGGTACATGTAGATTAACACAAAGTGAAAGGAAAAGTAGACTTTTTAAGGTCAAAATCCACATCATCAAAATAACTGGATGACCACTTCATTTCTTCGAAAATGACCTAATGGACATGACAAAAACAAGTGTGTTCCCTAATAAAGCACGAAAAACACTTTACGGACTGAATGAGTAAACCCTAGAAACTTAATAGGACATATATGTCATTTTCCCTAAACTAATTTGTATAAATGAAAAAAATCTTAAAACATGCATAAAAACAAATATAAAAAAGTTGTAAGAAAGACATTTTTACAAAATATAATTTTGTAAAATAATTATGGAAAAGAAATAAAGTTATTGTAACATCCGGTTCCAAGTAGATTTTCTCTATGCTTATATCAATTAAAAAGGACAAAACTGTAATTTTATGTAACACCCGTAGATCCGGGCTAGTCAATTTACAGACGATAGGCGTCAAAATTGGATTTTTGATGAAAGATTATTTAGAATGAATAATCTTAACTAAGTTATAATATATGTTACAAGGTTTCCGTGCATATAAAGAACGCCGACATTCGAGTTATAACGAAGAAGTTATGACATGTCGAAGTTTCACGGCATTACCGGCACGACGCTGAATGACGTAAAAAGTGAATTTACCTTAGAATGATATTTAGCCTTAGCAATCTAAACGAAAGTCGTAGAGTTCGTTAAACCATGAGCGTGCATAAAAAGAACGTCCAAATCTGACTTCGTATGAGGAAGTTATGATTTATCTAAGTTTCGACTTAGCGGTATGTAGCCCGAATACTCGATTTGAGATTGAGCGGTTTTTAGCAGAAACGATCTAAACGAGAAGAGAAGATCTCGTTAATAGGAGTAAAACGATAAAAAGATATGCGAAAACGGACGTCGGATAAAGAAGTTATGATTTTATAACGGACTTTTCCTATCCCGGCCTACTAAAAATAAATAATAAAAATAAATTCAAAATTAGCCGACGGAGTCCAAACAAAAGTTGTAGATCGTGGTCTCACCTACGCGGGGATATAAAGAACGTCGAAAACGGAGCTCGTATGAGGAAGATATGAATCTTTGAAGTTTATTAAATAATTAAAGTATTTAATTTAAATAAAAATTCGGATATTATCCAAAGGGGGGGAGTCACCGGGCTTATCCATGTTACGCCCAGCGTAATTCGTGTTACAACCCCCTATAAAAGGGTGTCGAGGGCAACCGACTTCTTTGCTCATTTCTTCCCGTTTTCTCGCGTTTTTGCATCGTTTTTCGTGCAAGAAATATCCCGAAGCCCCGGTATCGTTCCCGAGCCCCGAAGCAAGTCCCGAGACCCCGAAGATCCCGAGAAGTGCGATTCCCGAGCCGAAGCTCTGCCCGTGAGGAGCCCGGTTTTTGTGAAGATCTTCCAGATCTACCGAAGAAGACTACTTCTTCAAGTCGTAGTGATGTCCGATCATCTTCTAATCAAGTGAGTGTGTTGTTACTTTCTTTTAACGCATAATTATTAAGTATTTAATATAAAATACGTGTTATGTGTATATTTTGTTGTTATATGTGTGAATGTATATTCATTTTCTTCTATCTCATAAATCTGATTTATTCTTTATGAAATACGTGTTATGTGAGTGTACCTCATCTGTTATGTGGAATAAGTATTGAATGAGAATGCTATACAGGTTTTAAACTATGTATAAAAAATATATATATTTATATCTACAAATATGTTGGGTAGAACATGGGTAGATGAGATAGTTGGTGTGTGATAAAAGGATGAGTTGGATAATGAGATCAAGAGGCTAGTTTTAGATCCGTGAGTATGGATTAGACCAAGAGGTTAATTTTAGATCCGGGAGTATAGATCAGGTAAAGAGATAAAACTTGCTATTAGTCCGGGAGTATGGATTGGGTACTGTTATTGATCCGGGAGTATGGATCAGATCAGTATTAGGGTATAGTTAATTGTCCTTATTTCGGGAGTATGGTTTGGGTACAATTATTGATCCGGGAGTATGGATCAGATTAGGAGGTTAGTTTTAGATCCGTGAGTATGGATCAGGTAGTTTTAGATCCATGAGTATGGATCAGGTGAAGAAGGTTATTTTTAGATCCGTGAGTATGGATTGGTGAAGAGGATAGTTTTAGATCCGTGAGTAGGGATCAGGTAAAGAGGAAAATTTTAGATACGAGAGTTTAGATCGTGTCGTTGTGAGGATCGATGGGGTGGGATAAGAATTGCCTTTATATGGTGAAATTGTACAAGTTTGAATGTTCTATATTTATAAATATATGATATAACATTGTGGGATGAAAACCCTATATGCTCACCAGGTTCCCAAGCCTGACCCACTCAGTTTTTTTTTGTATCACAGGTATTAATACGAAGACATATTTCACATAGAGATTTAAAGGAGATATAAATCAATTGTGTAATTAAATGTAAGTTCTGTTTATGCTTATATGTCTGTATCGGAACATGACATCCCG